TCATAAAAGAAAGGGTTAACATTAGCGGTGCCCTGGCTTATCGTGCCAATAAAAAGACAAAATCTATGGATGCCATATTTACGCATATTCCTGTAAACAGTGTCGTCGTCCCCTCTACTTGGCCTCGTCAAACCCAGCCTATGATGCGAGTGCCATTCTCCAATATGGCACAGACTTTCTTTGCTTGTAAGGTGATTACCAACTCGATCAAGGTAATCTACATCTTGATAGAAAGACGTCGCGGTTCTTTGACAACCCTTTCCGGGACCAAGAACAAGTTGCACTACTGCAGTACAGTTGTCTTGCCATAAACCAAATAAATCACCACCAATCTCAAGGTTATGAGATTCCATTGTCCATTCTTCTATTTGACGATATTCAGACTCGTAGATGTAAACTCTGAAATCATTCGATAGGCTTTCAGAATGATTCATAGTGTTTTTTAAACCTATTTGCCAAAAGCAAGACGAGTAATATATTCGCTTTATTCCAACTTCCTAGAAATGTGACAAATTGTCACGCAATACACCAGGTGAGATGTAAAACGTCTCCATCATCAATTGAAGTAAATTTGATGCATGGAACTTCAGTTTTCCTCAATATCTCGATAAAATTGGCTTGCATTAAGCCTAAGGCAATATTGTTTGGCTGGTGCATCCTGTAAGCTGTCGGTACAAGATGTAAGGGTTCTGACTTCGATTTCAATTTGATGAATATAAAATAGTTTTGGATGACGCATTTTCCGGGAAATTGAAAAAGTGATTATTTCATGTTATGGTCGTCGCCATCTCTTTGCATCACCTGAATTTCAAAACCATTGGGACAAGACTAGAAACATAACAAACGTAGCTGAGAAGACCTGAGAATTTTAATGACTTTTCGATTTCCGGGAATCCGTGAACGATATGACGTCACATGTTGAGTTATGATAATCTCAGCTCGCAAGTCAACCGACTGAAATACAATGTGTACAAAGTTCTTAATTTAAGGAATAAAAGACGAAATTCCGTGTTTGATACTCTGATCAAAACACGCGGGATGTAGGGAGAGCACGAGAGAAGCGTAGGAAACCACGACGCGTAGAGGACATCATAAATAGGCATTTCTTCGTTCCTTGTTCTTTAAAATGAATGGGAAAAAAGAAATTTTTGACGCGCGAGCGTGTTTTGATACTGTAATCAAACATGGTTTTCGACCAATCACAGCGCGCGTAGTATCCTAAATATTTTAGAAAACTTACTTTTACTCCGACCATAGTTTCTATTAACTTTTCTCCGGCGAAGGATTAACGTCCGAAACGTCAGTGAGTTATTTCACATACTTTTTTTTACGGTGTTAAATTTATCTTTTTACACAACTGTTTCTATAGAAACACCGACGCAGYTCACACTATTTTACCGCTAGTTCCCACCGTTGTACACAAAACCAATACTTTATGTATTATAGTAGATGTTGGTGTCAGATGCTTTCAAATACTCTGCATTACAGTATTCTTATCAAAAGTCTATCATATTATATCATATAATCATCTATAAAATAACTATATATATTGGAAGTAAAAAAGATGAATTTTACAACATTATTTGCTTTTATATATAATCATATGATCAGCTGAATATTACATGGTCGCTTTACTTTCGCTCGTGAGAGATGTCTTCAACAGTCGAAGATAAATTCCGTATCTCCGCGCGCCCATTTAATATATATAATATATGGTGATTATATCCATTTAATTTTGATTACAATCAATCTATTATCAGGCGTTCATATTAGCCTATTAGWGCTTTGGACACAACGCATGCTAGACTAAAAGTACAACCCACATTYATTTTAAATATCGGCAATAAAAACACAAGCAATTTTTCTTGAAAGTTTTTTTGAAGACAGACATAAAACTATCGAAACCTCCGCGCAAGCAAATACTAAAAATATTTTGTGGGATGGACGATTCCTTTTTGAGTATAACAGTTCCACTKCGAGGAAAATCCTTAGGGAATTGAACTATCCACTTATATTGGGAATGATGGAATTCAAGCGACACTTTCATTGTATGTCTGTCCCTTTCAATTTTAACTTTGTTATCAACTGCGAATTCACTTATGAAAGACAATGTTTCTCGCAACACGAATTCATCTTGATCATACCAAGGCTTTTCGATAGACGTCAAATGATTATTCCTCTCTGCTAGACTTGCCTGACTGTGGATCGCTGTCCCGTTAAACTGTACTGTACCTTGATGATTTTCATTCCTTATCGGGGACGTATTCCGAATTCCAGATGCTCGAGAAATTCTTTTATTATCTCGATCTCTTGGATAGGAAGGAGGCCGAGGAATCTGGGTTTGGGAGGTTTTGAGTTGATGATCTCTATCTGGAATTCTCTCTGGATGGTATCTCTGGGGATTTTTTTGTGGTGATCGTGAACGACTACGTAGTCGATCTTTGGTATCGTAATCATTTCCTCTTTGGCGACTTCTTATAGTCCTATCGCGTTCTTCCAGATAAGAAAACTCTCTTGGTTGTTTTGGTATAACCTCTTTACCTTCATTTATAGCTGACCTTATTATATCCACGTGGTTAAAAGGATTCTTTGTAGGCAAACTTTCAACTTCTCCCACTTGGTATGCTGATACTTCGTCAGTAAATTTATATGGCGATAGCTTGACTTGTCCGCCCTGGATGATATTTGCAATGATAAGTACAAAGCCTTGGGATCCTTGTGGATAATTTCGTCTTATGGTATTACAGTCTCCTTCGCTTGGATTTAGCAATGATAGTCTGTGGTGAGAATGCCATTCACCTATATGACACAAGGGATATGTGCTTGTCAATAAGTTTCCTATTCGACCCATGTAATTTACATCCTGGAAGAACGATGCAGGGCTTCGAGTACAGTTCTCGCCTGGCCCCGTAGAAACGAAGACAACAGCGTTCCCTTGGTTTGTCCATAGACCAAATAGGTTTCCACCAGTCTCTTGATTTGGGAATTTACTGACCAGCTTACCGATATTGATAAAATCCTCTTCAAACAAGGTTAGAGTGAAAGATTTGCAATGCTGAAACCTTGATTCCATTTTGCTACCTGACAATTACCAAGATGATGTAAACAAAGCTTCGAAACGACCTGCTTCCCAGAAATTTCAACGAATTCGCATGCGCAGTAGCTTCCTTTAATTCTTGGAACAAGGATCATTTTTTATGGAATCTGGGGATTACCCCACTAAAAAAAMCTCGTATATTTACATAAATTGTAAAACTACTATTTTTGACGGATATATGATGCATATTCATGGTTGATTGGTTGCATGCARGTATATACGTTCTTGAATATTTATTACTGTTAGAGTGGAAACATTAAACGTTTAGCACTATAGACCCCTTGCAGTTCAGGGGAATGCAGCTGCAACTGGAGGACAAAATTAAACAATGGATTCTAGTTCCCAAGAGGATAAAAATCTTTTGTTTTGCCCTCCAGATGAAGCTGCTTTGACGTCACATGCAAGGGGTCTATTAGTGATCCTTGTAACGATATCTTGCCCTCATTTTATTTAAAAGGGAGCCCTCTTTATCAATTCAAGATTAGAAATACCATGAATAAATTTAAATGAATTTATTGACGCTCCCTGCTTATTACCAAATCTTKAGTGTACCTAAAAGTCGAGAGTCGAGGGTCGAGGTAATAAGTCGAGAGTGAGGGTAAAAAGTCGAGGTGAGGGTAAAAAAAATCACCTTTCTTATTTGGCGTACTCAGAAATACGTTGCTTCTCGAAACAATAAGAGAAACACAATTGGTAGTTTAGAAAAGTAAAACAACAACCAGCACTTTTCTTGACATGCAGTGGCCTCGTCTCGTTTATATATATTTTAACAAAATCGTAAAAAAGTTAAGRGATCCAAATGGACCGGCAATATTTGGCTGTTGTGTTTCAACATCGTCAGGAGAAAGATGTGTGTACACATAAAAGAAGGAAGGTTGCACATCTCGGCGGACTATGTATGGACATGTATCAAACCAATCATATGAAACTTATGGGGGACAAATAGTCCGTGATCACTCAAGCTTGACCTGACAGTCCGTATGAAGTGCCAAATTTGACGAAAAAAGGCCAGATTTCAAGGCTTTTTGAAGAAATGCGGCGACATTAAAAACAATCCTAAAAACCTAGCACCGGATTTAAGAAATAAAATCTATATGTGACCGTTCTGGGTATTTTTCGTGAGAAAATTCGAAAATCCAATCATGTATTTTTGCCCTTGAAGAGTTGAAGTTGAGCATTAAAATAGTATGGCGATCCATGTTTTCACCACAGTTCGCTCCAAAAAACTGGGCCTCGCGCATAACTTATTTTGTTAATAAAAAACCTAGCACCGGATTTAAGAAATAAAATGTATGTGTGACATTGCTGTGTATTTTTCGTGAGAAAATTTAAAAATCCAATTATGTATTTTCGCCTTTGAAGAGTTGGCGTTGCTTCGCATCCGTTTGCGTTTCGGGATTCCTGTCCCGACGATGAACGGATGCAAAGGAGACTACTTCTGTAGGCACAAGCAACAAAAATCAAACTTGAATTTTTCAAATTATTGCTTTCTTATTATATGTTTAAAATGTAGTCAAAACTATGCAGTTTTGTGTTAATTCAATATTTGAAAAATTTATATCAGTCAGTGAACGTAACTGTGATATTATATGTACATGTACTTTCCTTTCTAGAGGTGACTTTGCTATTAATAGTATTTAATGGTCAGATGATGATGTTAATGAGGTCGATCGACGACAAAATATTAATTAACTCCATTGTATTATATTTCATGAAGTAAATAAATAAATTACATGCATATATACATGCATGCATGGATGCATGAGTGAGCCTGGACAATAATCCAAGCAAATGTCACCCGATGTATGGCAATAAGTTCCATATG